AATAAGAAAAATTAAAGCATATTTCGCAATGTTATTATACAATATGCATTTATATTAATTTCCAAACGAAAAGAAAACTATTTGTCGTTATAACTCGTTGTTCACTCAAAATAATTATAAATTGTAGTAGTAATAATTATAAAAATGGAGCTATTAACCATATTTTAGTGCAATTATAATCACAATATTGAATATTTTTCTCTCAGAATACTTTTGGAATTTTTAAACATACGCAGACTCATATAATAATTAAAGGGAAACGCACCGTTACTTAGGTATCCCAGAACGTGAGATGAGGTGGCCGCGTGCTGCAGTAAAGGGATGATGCTGCGCATCATTGAGATCTTTTCTATTCAAGTTCATTACTGCGAAATAATCGGCATGGTATGTAATCGGCGGGCAGAGCGGAAGTGATAAAAGGAAGGGAAAATAAAAACAAAAAAAGGATAACTCGGCCGTCCTTAAAACATGCGATGAATCCGCCATGGCAAGTCAAGAAACCTTTGATAGCAACGCTCGATAGTATAGCGATGCTGAGCGCCGGCGCCTTTCCCTCGCAGCCCCATTGGTGCCGAAGGCCCTCTCCACACGAGTGCCCGCCGCCGGGTTTCCTTGGAAACGCTTCGTTCACGCTGATGTCTACCCTCGCCCACAGAAAACCTCTTTCAATTAGGCAGCCTGCCGCCCGACAGACCCACGAATCCCGGTCCGTTTTCTCTCCCGTTCCCTTTACTTTCTCTCTTCCTTTTTTCTTCTTTTCCATCTTTTTTTTTTTTAATTTCCTCTCGCCTGACGTTTCCCGCTTCAGCGAAATGGACACGCGCCACTATAGAGTCCGAGATAAAGAAGTCACCGAGTACCACGGGTGACTTTGAAATCACTAATTCGTTAAACAATCGGAAAGTGCGCGCTGAGGTCAATATGTCACGCGAGTCTGAACAGAAAGAAGTTCTATATCGCTAATTCTCGACCACACAATGATTTTTCTGATATTCCAAAATTTAACTAAATACAGCTGTAAAAATATTTCCGTTGGACTATTTTAATAATTGCTCATAATAAATAGAATGCTCAAACATAATAAACAATATGGTAAAAGTTTTGATATTCTAATAATCAACTGGGGGGTATCTCTAGTTATTTTGATGGTCTAATAAAATTATTTTCAAATCGATCTATCTAAAAATTTAGACTTTAACAAAATCTTTCTTTCCATGTGACATGATAAAATTTACGTCGAGTCGAGAGGCAGACATTGCAATAGAAAAAAATATCGACTTTTTAAAAATATATATTATGGAATAAGGGATATTGAAAAAACGATATCTCGGAATGAGATTAGCATGTGGAAAAATAACTTATAAGCGACACAAATTAAAGTTCACGAATCGCTGCGAACTTCGAGATATATCTCAACTGATTGCAGAAGCTTTTCTTTCTTACATAACTAAGATTATCTCGATTGTAAAGTAACCTTAAAGTACTCTTAATCGATGATATCTAAATAACTGTTTCCGCCCTGCAGCAGACAGATTTTGTTACACAGAGAACAAGTACGGGAATACGCGTCGTATCCGGCCAATCGCATGTGCGAATTTATATACGCGCACGCGAGAGGGAGCATGGCTGATTGGTATGCAGCACAACGCCCAGCTTGACTGACGCCTCCAAGTTGCGAATAAAATTTTCATGAATTTCTATTAACTCCGTTTTTCTAGACGTGCCCCGGAGACTTAAAAAAGTTCTGTCAGCTGATAGCCGCGGGGAGGTCACAATTGCCCTATCGCGCTGGTCAAATCCGATCGAAAAGATAATTTTCCAGCTGCACTGTGTGGTTTTTAAATTAATTTAACGTATAAAATTGTCATCAAAATGCAAAAATTAAGAGTAATTAAGAGTAATTGATATTTAAGAATGTTATCCACATTTAAAAATTAGTTTCAATGTAATGCATTTCCTTTCGATCCTCTAACCAAACAAAATAATATCAATACTGATTGCAAGCATAAATTGGAATCTTAATTTATAAGTTTCTCTATTAATTTTCATCACTTTTAGTGACTGCTCTTTATTGTTCTGAGTTTTATTATTATAAATAAAATTTTTCATTTTAAAGCAAATAATGATCCTCCGTTTTCAAAAATAATAAAAAAAGTTTTTCAGAAAAAACAATAATTATTTTTCAATTTGATAGAAAATTAATAACTAATCAAATATCAGCAAAAAAATAACATGACCAAATGTCATTTTTATCACTTTCATTTCATAACTCTTAAAAAACATTAACTTAAATAAAAAACTTAAACTTTTTTAAGCTCTGTGACAACCTTGATGGTTTTTTAGCCTTTTAAATTGTGGACACGATTTTGATTATAAAATTAAGTTCACTTTTAATAATCGATAGGGCAATGTTTATTAAATCGTTCATGATAATACTATGAAAATCGGTTTTTTTTAATTGTATTCCTTTTGAAGTAAGGGAACATTATCGTACGCTAACTTTCCTTTCAAATCTTTAATCAAATACGCGCTAATAATGCGCCCAACAATCGAACGAAGAGGTCGATAAACTCTTACATAAATAAGACAGAAAAATTCAAGCCTTCTCGTTTCATAAATTCTGAAATTTCCGTCAGTTTCGTATTTAGATAAATCGCGGAAATCACGAATGTATTCTTGCTGTCAAAAACACATCATACTCGTTAAATTATAATGCGAAGATGCCTCGATTTACTGTGTCTTTTTTAATTTGATCCGACATTTATTGTTGATGTGTCTATTTTTAATTTTTATCGTTAATATGCACTATTTTTGATTCGTTACACTTCTGCATATTAAGTATAATTAATTCTCTCTTATAAATCATTCCTCTAAAAATTTTATTCCTAAAATAAAACTTATCTCTGAATTACATGTTAGACAATAATGAGTTTAAACTGTAATTATGATAATTGATAATAAATCCATATATACACAGAAAGAACGATTTTGCTAAAATATTTACAATTTTGCTGGAGAAACAGATCTAAAAATAATTTTGTTGGACTATCAAAATAATTATGTAGGAATCTAAAAAAATAATAATATTACAAAAATTTTTTATATTCTATCAATTAGTTTGAATTTCTAATAAAACTATTTTTAGATTTGTATCCAGCAACATTTTAGATGTTTCAGCAAAATCGTTCTTTCTTATAAGGTGACTCAAGAGGAAATACCACAAGGAGGAAAATGTATTTTGTTTATAGCTTCTTTTTCATAGAACGCGTGTTGAATATTCTGACTATGCAAGCATGTAATAAACTGCACAATTATCAACGGAAAATGTTCGTGCATCAACATCGAAAAAGATTTGACGAAATACAGCTTAGTGTAAAACCTAGCAAATAATATATGATTTTGATTAGTATTTCTTAGTAGTCATATGACTCGTATAAGTTATATAATTTGTTATAGTTTTATATGCATAAATGTTATAATGACATCTTCCTGGTGCACTTGAGGGAAGATAACAATAAGTACGAAACATGATCTTTCCTAATTAATATCAACATTAAAACAATTATATAAATTAAAATTTGGAATACTTTATATAATTCAATTATTTTAAATTAATTAAATGCTGTTTAAATGAATAAAAATTGCAAATATATGAGTAAAACAAGTTTATTGCAAGTTTATTGCATCATATCATTTAATTGTTTATGGCATCTTATTCGTATGTATAAGAGCAATATGTTACTTTTTCAAGATATGATATATGAATTTTTTTCAAAATATTAAAAGCATTCATCTATATAAATAAAAAAGGTCTCTAGAATATAAATATTTTTTCGTAACTGAATTCAATGATATTAAGAAGTTATATGACATTAAGAATAAAGGCTTAAATGGCGTCTTCTTCCAAATCATCATCTTACATCTTTTATGTCTTTATATTGAAAAAACTTTAATAGATTGATACGTAAGAGAACAGCTTTTGAGGGAATCGTGGTTGAAATTTCTGGATCTTTGATCCCGGAATTCCTGATGCCAGAGATAGGACTTGCGAGCTTCCGCAAAGTTTCGTGGTCGCCTTGCAACCAAGTGAAACCCACCAAAATTCGGAACCCCGCAGGGCGAGGGCTTAGCTACTGCTCCAAGTTTCACTTTAATCCAAAAAGCCGAGATAGGCCGACACAATTGATTCTACCAAAGTTCCAGTACTATCTGAGTATACATTTCTGAGGATAGCCGCGAGGTTACCTCGATGGTACAATTTATAATATCTTTAACGTTCCTCAAATATTATATCTGTGTCACCAAATTTTTACAGTCAGAGATATTATCTTTTTATATTTATAAATTTTTATAAAATTATGTTTTCTTTAGGTCTTACATGTTCGGCGTATTATTATTTTGCTCATGCAAAAATCCATATTTTATGTAATAGATAACAATAATAATAATAATAAATCATTACAATAACTGAGAAACACTTATATAAATGAATCGGTTGCACAAAGCGCATATGTTACAAGAAATTCAATCTAATTTTCTGATGGGGAAAAGATAATTAATAATAAAATGAGTTAATAAGGGCACATATATAAGAGTCAAGTACACAGAAAGTACATTGATGCGCAAAAACAAATAAGAAGTTTAATGCGATAAGATTTCAATTATATATAGCATTACATACGTTAAAACTTTCAAATCAATTAATGTTGTTTTGGCTACATTTTCGAGTCATCTTCAAATCTTAGAAATACTTTTGCATGAAAGATAATTAATATTTCCGGTGAGTCGAATTATAAAGAGTTTGATCAATGTCCTCTTTTTAATGCAATGACCGATTTAAATAAGCGTCCAAACGTAGTTTGCTGATTTGTAACTATTTTAACGTGTATAACAAAAGCCCGCAATTCTGATATAATGTGAAGTCACGCGATAAGTTCTCTAGCACACGTTGAAATTAATCATTTCGTGCCATCGGCAGTGTACATTTTGACCACACCTACCTGAACGCGACTTTCCGTGAGACCGATCCTTAGTGCTATTTCCTCCCTCAAGAAAATATCCGGGTAGTGAGTTTTGCCGAAACACCTTTCGAGCTCGTTGAGCTGAGCCGGGGTGAAACGCGTCCGATGTCGCTTTTGCTTCGCAGGTTTATCATCACCTTGCCCGATCGCCGCCGCGCTACCTAAAATACAGAGCCATGGTTAAATAAGTAAAGTATTGAATTTTCTCCGGTTTCTTTTAATTCTACTTGTTAATCGAAAAGATACAGCCTTGGCTATAAATATAAAGCACTCTCAAAACAATTATTTCCTCAAAAGAGTACAATAATAAAAGTCAAAAGAAGAATAAAATAATTCAATTGCTTGTAAAAATAAAATGTATTTCAATAAAAATAGTTTTTAAATTTATTTTTCGTTATGTATAAAACGTTTACGTCAAACTTCCAGGATGCTTTATATACAAGACTAAGGCTGTTAAAAGATAAAACCAGATTTTTCTCTGCTACATATCTTCTACATTTTGAAAAATAGAAAATAAAATGTACGTTGTGTACACTCTATTTATTCAAAATTAATCGACATAAAAAAACCTCTATATAAAAAAAGTATAAAATAAAATCGATCAGAACAAATATAATATCAATAAGGTTTTTCATTCTTTACAGATCATATTGTAATAATATCAAGATATTTAATGGACAGTTATCAATTTTATTTTAATTTTAATAATTGTTAAATATCTTAGATTAATAAATTTATATTCAAGCTAATGGTAAGATATTTCATAACTACGCTTATTAAATTTAACATGTGCTGCACATCAATCAATAACTAAATTTTAAACTAATTATATTTAATGCACGTTTTAATTAACATTTTCGTTTCTAAGTTTTTTATTTATATAACTTCAATGTTAACGTGACATGTGAAAATGACATGGTCAATTTAATATCAAATCCGGAGTAATAATTT